CTGGGCACTGAAGGTCCGGATGTTCCCTCTGCTCTGGGCACTGAAGGTCCGGATGTTCCCTCTGCTCTGGGTACTGAAGGTCCGGATGTTCCCTCTGCTCGGGGCACTGAAGGTCCGGATGTTCCCTTTGCTCTGGGCCCTGAAGGTCTGGATGTTCCCTTTGCACTGGGCCCTGAAGGTCCGGATGTTCCCTTTGCTCTGGGCACTGAAGGTCCAGATGTTCCCTCTGCTCTGGGCACTGAAGGTCCGGATGTTCCCTTTGCTCTGGGCACTGAAGGTCCGGATGTTCCCTTTGCTCTGGGCACTGAAGGTCCGGATGTTCCCTTTGCTCAGGGCACTGAAGGTCCGGATGTTCCCTCTGCTCTGGGCACTGAAGGTCCGGATGTTCCCTCTGCTCTGGGCCCTGAAGGTCCCGATGTTCCCTCTGCTCTGGGCCCTGAAGGTCCCGATGTTCCCTCTGCTCTGGGCACTGAAGGTCCGGATGTTCCCTTTGCTCTGGGCCCTGAAGGTCCGGATGTTCCTTCTGCTCTGGGCACTGAATGTTCTGCTGCTGTGTTGGTAGGTCCAGCAGCTGGTGGGCGAGCTGCGCCGTGTGACTCTGCTGTGGGACGAGCTGTGGCTCGGCGTGCTGCAGCAGCAGCACATGTTGGTCCTGAGGAGGATCCAGCAGCTGGAGGACGAGGTCAAGAGGGTGCAGAACAACAACACGCTTCGCAGGTGAGGATGCATGACAATCCAGGCCCGGTTTAGGCCCCTGCCGAAAGGCAAATTAGTTCCTGTGGTAGAGTGTCTCCTAAAAGCGTCGACAGTTCTGCAGCCCCGCGTTTATGGTCTCCTCTGCTTCTTCTCCAGGGACGAGAAGGTCGCTATCATGCGTGAGAAGCACTCTGCCCTGATGCGGCCTGTGGTCTTTGCTCTGGACCACGTCTGCAGCATCACCACGGCTCCGGCGGAGACGCCACACGAGACCTGGTTCCAGCAGACCTACGGCGACGCCATCAAGTCGGCCCTGGAGCGCCTGAAGAACCCGGCCAATCCTGCCAACCCCGCCAGCAGCTGGCTGCCTTTCAAGCAGGTGCTGCTCTGACCTCTGACCTCTTTAGTGAACTTTGTTAACTCTGGTAAAACTAGTTAGTAGAGCTGTCCCAGTAACCGCCCCCCCAACCTTTCAGATCATGATGAGTCTGCAGCAACGCGCTCAGAAGCGAGCCAGCTACCTGCTACATCTGGATGAAATCAGTCCTCGACTGGTCTCCATGACGACCACGGAGATGGCCCTGCCCGGTGAGGCGTCTGCCTCAGACGCCGTCACCATCCAGAGCGTTGGAAACACCGTCACCATCCTGCCCACCAAGACCAAACCCAAGAAGCTCTACTTCCTGGGCTCAGACGGCCACAGCTACCCGTACCTCTTCAAAGGTAGGACAC